CTGACTCAGTTAGAATCCGAACTGAGGGTTCCGCTCCCTGATACTATGCTTTGCTGTTCCAGATTTCTTCTTGAGACAGAGTTGTGCCACTCCTTCCTCCATATGGAATCATACCTCATCTCAGCAGCCCTCCCTCCTGCCAACCATGACTTGATGAACTTGTCTCTAGCCTTCTTCCGCTGCTCTTCGTCGTCTGTCCCTTTTCTCTTGGTCTTCTTCCATCTGCATAGAATTTCTGCCTGTATCGAATCCTTAGTCTCTACCCAAACTCTCTCCCGTGCGCTTACAGCCTCCTCAATCGTTCTGCTGCATCTTACCCTCCATATGACTCAAGGGAGGTCTTACTGGTGAACTCAAACCCGATCTTTTAATGTTTTCCGAGGCTACTTAGGGATGACAATCAAGGGAGAAGTTAATTTTCCTCACTTTCCTTTAGCCCTCCTCCCTTTCTGTTCCCTGATATCCTCATCCCTCCTCTCTCCATTTGAAGCAAAGCTGTACGCCTCTGGACTCTGCTACTTTCCCCTGACCCAAAGTATTCTGTTTAAATTTTTTGATTATTTCCTCCTCTTGCCCAGGGTGTTGTCTAGCTTGCTGTCTCACCCTTTTCCACTGTGCGTTGAGATGTGTTTCCACCATATTGAGGAGCAGCTCTCTAGCTTCCTCCCTATGAGTTAATGTTCCTTCCATAGTTGCCTGACATCTCCTTTTCCAAATGGTCCACAGTCCATATTGTCTCAGCAGTTGAAAGATGAGCCTCTGGTAGGGTTGCCATCCTTTGGGAACCCCGACCCCTATCCGGAATTGAGTTGTGCCGCACTCATATTCCTTGCACAGGGTGAGATGTGGCTATTGGCTCTGCTGCTTGAAACTGCCGCCCTCCTTCTCTGTTCCTGTTTCTCTCTCTGCCTCATCCATAACATTTTGCTTTCCCGTGACTTCTGCAACTGAGCTACACGCAATTAAGAAAAGGTTCCCATTGTGATGTGTAAATTGTCAATACCTGCCTTGTGGTTGAGTAGTTCACACGTGTAACTGTTGGGCAGCAGATTATGTGTCTAAAACAAAACAAAACGAAAAGAAGAAAAAAGATGTACATACTGACAGATAAGGAACTACAAACATTAAGAGTGTTCGCAAAAGGGAAAAGAAAAGGAAAAAAAAAAAAAAAAAAAAAAAAAACAGAAAAGAGGAAGAGAAGGGTCATGATATAGTCAATTCAGGCACCTTAACAATGCTGTGCATCGGGGCTCATGTGGAGAAGTCTGTGCAGTTCGAATCACGCCATATCTGGCACGAAGCATCTCCTCTAGAGCTTCAATCCGTGCTTCCAGAGCTGATCTGGGCTCCATAGGGGTCTGAATCACACGAAAAAATTACAGTTCCCAATCAAAAATTTGAAACCTCAGCGTATATCAATGTCATAATACATTAAACTAGCATTCCCCGTGCGGGCTATTGCCCGCACACACGCATGGTATGTGTGAGCGTGAGTTTTTTTTCCTTTCTGAATTCTTATACCCGGACCCAGTGCCCAAGGCTGAACATACAGTAAAACAAAAAGTTAGAAAAAGTGTGCTGCATAGGCAGCCAGGTACCTGCGACGCAGTCCAAAACGAGACCTTCGCCTCCCCCCTCCTCCCCCCCCCCTCTCCCTCTCTCTCTCTGATGCTGAGGCATGGGAGGGGATGCACACCCCTCCCTCTCCCCATGTGTATAGATCTGACCCTTGGTTGTCAAATGTAGAGGAAGGACCACAGATATGCTTTTGAAATAAGGAGTGTGATGTTTTAGCTGTGCTGTCCAATTGGGAGTCTGGCTAACTTCTAGGAGAATAGCTAATCCTATTATAGACAAAAATCATTCCTCGCATGAAGCCTCCCCTGGCCCAGTGAAAAACCGAATGGAGGCAGTGCCGTCCGCAAGGGAACCACTGGGGAAAAGGCCATGGGTAGAAATTGGCTGAAGTTTCCCGATGTCTATTTTGTGCAACTGGACTTAACATGTCCCAGACAAAAAGTTGTGCTGGAGGAAGGCGCAGGTCTAGTGTGTTTTCTTAGTCATTCGCAGTTCCCCCATGAGCGTAATGTTTGAGTGATTTCGGATGGAGAGTCGTATGACAGGGAGGAGGTCCTGTGTGTTGATCAGGGAGAGTGTCCCGCGTGCCATTGCTCTCTGGAGCATAATGTTTTTTTTGTGCTAGGGTGCCGCCACGCAGCCCAGTTCACACACGCACACATGGACAGGCGCACCCGCACACGCACACAGGCTCACATGCTCAGATGCACGCCTACACACATGCTCACATGCACGCCCGCACATCCACTCTCTGCGGGCAGGCACACACACTCCTCATGAGTTGGTGAAAGTCCGATGAAACAGCCTGGCACAGTCACGCTTTTGCGTGCTGAACATGAAAACACACACACACCGAGAGAGAGAGAAGAGGGGTGGCGGGGGGGGGGAGAGGATTACACACAGCTATTCAAAGATTGGGCGCAGCAGGAAGTGGCATGGTGGGAGGAGGCAGCAGCGTAACAGGAAGAAGAGGTGGCAAGAGAGAGAGAGAGAGAGAGAGAGAGAGAGAGAGAGAGAGAGAGAGAGAGAGAGAGAGAGATTACACGCAGCTCTCGAAGTTTGGGCGTAGCAGGAGGTGGTGCAATGAACTTGCAGATTTTCAGCTACCAGGGTCATTTTTATAATTTCTTCAAGTGCTGGGTCCTAACCGGTACTTGTAGCAGGCAAAACCGAACACGAACTTCTCTGTAAATTTCTGAAAATTAATAACAGAACCCGTACTACTGGTCCTATACCCTGCCCACACCTAAACTGACCCTTCGTGAACGTAGAGGACTGGTGACCTTCCATGACTGCAAGGGCCCGGTGACTCTTCGTTGAATGAAAGGATTAGTGACTCTTCAGTACTGGAAAGGACAGGGCCGGACTGGTCTTGATCATGTCCCTTCGTAACTGGAAAGGTCAGGCCCACGACTTTTACAGTGTCTAAGGTCCTAGCAGTCAGTCCAGTAGAACTATAAATAGAGTCAGTTCGTAGTAATCTGGGTCTTTTGACCTGACGGTCAGCAGTAGAGAAACGCTGCTTGGATTTCACTTTGACGCCACCAGGCTGCCACAACAGCGGAGGCGACTGCTAACTACCTGCTTCTGCGCTGGAGCATGAGCTCAGGCACTGCAGCCTTGTGCAGCCATATCTGTGCTGTTGGGGTTAGGCACTGCCATATCTTCATCTTCATGGCAGCAGAGATCCTCTTCTTCAAGCTGGAGGTGATCTTCTTCTTCCTAGAGCTGGCGCTGACCCTCTGAAGTGGATACTATGCAGGCACTGGTGTTTTTTTCCAGATTCTCAAGGGCCCTGTGCTCCTGAGAGGATCCTGCATGGGCACTGGTGTTCCTGCACATAATATGGTGCTGGTGATTCTGAGAATTGGTGTGAGGTGCTGGTGCAGGAGGAAGTCGGAGAGGTGGTGCTGGAGGTCTGCAGGTTCAGGAGGCTGGGTGCTGGTTAGAGCGCTCGGGTGTGTGGAGGAGCAAGGAGTAGTTTCTGTTGGGGCTTGTTGAGGCCTGTTGTTGAGCTTGTTTGAGCTTGTTCATTCTCGGTTGGGATTCTTGGAGTTTGTGAAGCTGCTTGAGGAGGATAGAGACAAGGGACTCTTAATCAGTGTTTTTTTTTTTTTTTTTTTTT